TGAAAAAAAAAACTCAAATCGAAAACCTCAAAAAGGCGATTTGAGTTAAAGGGGATTCATCTAAGTTAAAAATTTAAAAAATCAACTTAGATAAAGAGGGTACAATATCGAATTTTAGAATTCACTAACATGGAGGCTAGTATGTTCTAATGAGCTCTAAGTTATTAGGTGCATCATGTGGTTGAATTTTTGAAAAAGACTTCAAGATATGTTATCATGATTATTTGATAGTTTAGTTTGGGCGTTATTACCCTATACCCATTTATGTAACTATTTTTTCTCATTAATGACCAAAGTTGTTCACCATTTCATTTAATTCCTTGTGTCTCTCTTTTTATGACTATTTCCCATTTATTCCCAATCCATCCCTTGGCTTTTTCTTTTAATACCTTGCCATGAAAGAAATGTGTGATTGCATTTTTACATTTTGAAATTGAAATAATGATTGAGAAATGAATAATAGCATGAAAGATTTTTTACATTACCTTGGAAAGGTTGAGAGTGATAAAGGCAATATGAAATGTTTAGTTCTTGGTAAGGACATTGAATTTGGAGAGGAAAGATTTCTTTAAAAAGGAAATATGGAAATATGATTGAAAATTAAATCGATTTGATCTTGGTACTTGAAGATTGAAAAGTTCAAGATCTAAGGAAAAAACTCAAGAAACTTGAGTACCACAATTGAAAATAAATTAATTAATTGACATTTGCATAGCATGCATTTCATTTTTGAATGTTTAGTATATAACATGCATTGCATTTGAAAATATCTAGTGCATGAATTTATGAAACAGGGATATTTCAAGATCCCACATGTAAAAGATAAATATAAAGACTTTCTAATGAAAGAATTTCAAATTCTCAGTTGAAAAAAAAAAAAAACCTTGAGGTAAGATTCGAATCCTTGAAAAAGGATATTTTTCAATATTATGAATTATTTGTAAAACTTTTGGGTATAATCTCTTATAATTTCTTCTGATGATCTATAAGACCTCTGAGCATGATTGTCAATGAACTTTATTTATTTCTCAGAGTTGTTGAGTCTCTACTTAGAACAACCTTATTTATTTTTCAAAAGTTATTAAGCTTACATTTAAAGAAGTCTTATTTATTTTTCAAAAGTCTTTGAGCCTATGCTTAGATGAGCTTTATTTTTCAAAATTATTGAGAAGCTTTATTTATTTTTCAAAAATCATTGAGCCTCTATTGAGATGAGCTTTTCTATTTTTCAAAATGTTAAACCTTTATTTAGAGGAGTTTTTATGTTATTCAAGAAGTTTGAGTATGCTTAAAAAAAGGAAAAAAAAGAAAAAAGAAAAAAATGTGTCGAGTTAATTCTTGATTGGGTTATCTATGTCTTTGCACAATTCTTATTTCACAGAAAATACGTAAGAAAGGAAATTGTAGACACCCAAATCTGTCTAGGGTTCTAATTGTTTTTGTTCATAAAAATAAAAAATAAAAATAAAAAGAAAAAGAAAAAATCAAATGGTTAAGTTTGTGTGAAACTTGTTTGTTTAGATTGAAATGAGTTGGAATGAAGCATTTGAATTGGACTTAAAATATGAAGTTGAAATTTAAAGGAAATTAAAAACTCTTTTTAGTTTAAGGTTATCTGGATTTAAACTATATAAATATAGACCCACACCAAGCAGCAAAACATAGATTATTGAGGCAGAAAAGCTACACAAAAGCAACCAGAGAGTATGAAAATTTTTTGGGAGAATTTTTAGTTTAAAAAGAAATTTTTTTTGAAAATTTTTTTGGAAATCCTAGTTTTCGATGGAATTTCCCAGCAACCTTTGAAAATTCTAGTGACTTTCTGGCAACAATCCTAGTTTCTGGTGAGATTCCCAATTTCCAGCGTCAGTTTTTTAGAAACCAACGAACTTCTAGTGACTTAACCTAGATTCTAGCTTGAATTTCTAGAATCTGATGAAGATTCAACTGGTAATCTTGGTTTCAAGAGTAACAGAGAGAAAATAGAAAATGAGAGAGAGAAAAAGAAAAAAAATCTGAAGGAAAAAGAAAAAATTTAGTCATTTATACGCTTGGTCAAATGACGTCGTTTTAAAGTCTAAGCAGGAGTTAGAATCCATACGTTTCTAGTGGTTGACCCAACCCGAGTGCTAATAGCTTCTTTGACCCGCGTTCCACCATTAGCTTCAGTCAAGCGAAGCTTGAGCCGTACCTTTGGAACCGTTGTCCTTTTCTGTAACCAAGCTACACCTTTTAAGCGATTGAGTTCAGCCCTTCCTGTTTTTTATTGTTTTTAATTAATTTATTTATTTAGCTATTTTATTTGTTTTTAGATATTTTTGCATGATTAAATTTTAAAAAAATTACAAAAAATTAAACGTTAATAAATTTTTTGAGAAAAAATATTAATTAACCAGTGATAGAATTTTTAAAAATTACAAAAGGTTTATTTCTATAAAATTCTTTGGTGAAAATTTTTTCTAAATTTATCTCAAATAGTGAAATGATTTAGATAAAATTTTAATAATAATAATCAATATTTATTTTTAATTTTTTAAAAAGAAAAAAAACACAAATTTAATAAAAAAATTTTAAATTTAATTACTAATTATCCAATGATAAGATTCTTAAAAATTTTAAATGGTAAATTTTTTTAAAAATCTCTAGTTGAAATTTTTCGCTAAATTTATCTTAAATGATAAAATAATTTAGATGAAATTTCAATAAAAGTAATTATATTTTTTTTTCAAATAAAAATATTAACAATATAACTTAAAAACTTTGGTTAAAAATATTTGATAATTATCAAAGGATAAGAATATTAAAAATTTCAAATGGTAAATTTTTTAAGAAATCTTTAGGTGAGGAATTTCTCTAAATTTGTCTCAAATGGTGGAAGAATTTAAATAAAACTTAAAAAATAATTATCATATTATTTTCTTTTCAAAGATTAAAAAAAAATGTTCTAAATAGACCAGAATAGTGAAAAATTTAAAAATGAAAATAAAAAATAAAAATAAATTTCGAAGATAAAATTCTTAGTAATCACAAATAATTGATTATTTAAAAAAATTTTAGGTGAAAAGATATTTTTAATTGTGACCCAAATGGTAGATGAATTATATATATTTTTAAAAAATAAAAAAATAATTAAACATTTTTTCAAAGGCGAAACTTTTTCATGAAAACAAATGAGATTCTTTAATACTCTTGAAGTGATAAAATATTTTTAAAAATTTTACCGAATTAATAGAAAAATCTTAAGAATTATTTTTAATATTCAACATTAAAATTTAAGATCATTAGAATCAAGATTTTAAAATAATTTAAAATAAAATGATAATATCTTTTGGATGGACATGTGGGAGTACTATAATCTTTTTCATATGTAATTGAACTCTTGAATTTTATTCTGATTAATAAACTAAAACTTATTTTTTTTGAAACTTTTATTCAAGCTTAAAAGTTTCTTAAAATAATATATTTATTAGGTGATTAATCACACTTAATTAAAAAAATTAATAGTGATTTTTCTTATTAAATTTAACTATAGATTTATAAATCTATATGTTATAATAATAAAAATTGCAAATCGAGATTAACTTATACCGTATACATCTACCTCTTTTGAGTACAATACCTTGGATGTTGGAAAACGATTGACATCTTTTTAGTAGACGGAGTTATTCGTTTGACATTGTCCAAGAAAATGGATCACACCGCAACAAAGGAGAAATCCACTGCGGATTTAACAAAGGAAAATTTCAAAATTAATAAAAAGAAAAGTTTTAAAAAGAAAAAAGTGAGAGAGCAAGAGAGGACTAAAAAGAGGGGGGAATGGTAGAAAGGGAAGAGAGAGAAGGGATCCGACTAATCGGTCAATTCGGAAAAATTTTGCCTAAAGCCAACTGATAAATATTATCAGCGACAATCCTCTCCCCTCCCCTTCCTTCTCTCTATTCTTTTTCTTGTTTTCTTTTTTGGCGACAACCCTATCCATTCTTTTCCTCTATTAACACATGTTTTCTCTCTTTGATTTTATTTTTATTTTTTATATTTCAAAAATAAAAATCCTTTTTTTTTTCAAAAAATGATGAAGCAATTTTTTGCCATGTATTATGAATTTATTAGATGTTGTGCTCGTTGATTATCAATGTTAGTGTCTGTAAGGAAAAAAATTTCAAATATTTAATTAAAAATTTGTATTCTCTAAATATCCATCAGACTGAAGTGTATAATTTAGGAACTATAAGATTATTTAACTCGTATAAACAATACTCTAAGCACATAAGTTGAATTTTGAAAACTTGGATGCTCTAATAAACCAAAGGAAAAAAAATATAATGAAAAATAAAAAGAGAATGAGAAACCTTCACCAACCAAAAAAATGATGGGTATAATGATTAAATCAAGTCATCCAATTATAAGAAAACCTTCCTTTAAACTCTTACTATTATATTTACACCATTTTAGCTCTTCAACTTTTTTTGTGGGGTCAATTTAGATGAAGTTTAACGAAAAGTAACCACGTGATTGCACGTGACTAACAGTTTAGTTAGAAGTAAAACACCAAACTTCAATCGAAGTTCGCTTTAGCAGCAATAAGCTATTTGTTTCTCTTCCACTCTAACCACTATTGCCTCTGATACTAAGCAAAAGACACCGCCAAACTGGCTCTTAGCTGCTTTTTACTTTATTTGGCTGGTCAGTGAAAAGTATTAGTAGAAGACGGGTGTTTCAAAAGACACCCCATAGCCCTAGGTCTGGAATTTAAGTAATAACCGAAAAATATAACAAAGAAATACTGCTAACAATATGCTTTTATTAGAACGGTACATGTTTTATATTACACGGGAAAGGTTCATTGTCTACAAACCATTACCAACGTTTGTGCCAAACCTAACAAAATAATTGCTAAAGACATCGGTTCATAGGGCCACTGAACATGGTGCGGTTTGATTCAATGGAACAGCAGTTGCAGCAGCCAACCTACATATTTTAGTCATGAATGTTAATTATACAAACATAGATAAACTTCTGCTTGACATCCCGAAATCCCCTCCCCACCTCTTCCTTCAGGGAAAAAAAAAGAAAGGAAAAGAAGAAAATCAAAAGGGAACAGAAAGAACTGACTAATCTGATCCAAAAAAAATTAAAAGTAAAAAAGAGAAAAGTGATGAATGCAGACATAAACTAATATACAATGACCACCGATGCTTGCACAAACACAGAACACATCAGTCTTTAAAGGGAGGGAAAGCCAATCATGGTGTAACAACTTTGTGGATAACAGAACTATAAACAGTAGCATCACTCATCTAAGTGACTAATGCAAATTAAATTAAAATAATTATTGCTTTCATCTATGAAAGGACGACAAAGCTCATCAACTGACATTCGGGGAAGTGTTTTAGAAAGACAATATGAGAACAGGCCAGAACATTGAATGGAAAACCAAAACTTACTGAGTATCAGTGTCCAGTTTAGCCCTCTTCTTCCGACGTCGCTTTCTTGAAGAGTTTTCACCAACTCCTGAAGCCTGTTCAATCGCTGGAGGCACAAAAGCAATTGGAAGATCAAGGCATTCAGGACCTTGTTCTGATTTTGGAATCTTGAATTCATGGTGAGGATGTTCTGCTCCTGCGCTTTGCCATAGAGATGCACTACTTGGCTCACTGTTACTGACTGCAGCAGTTTCAACCTCTTTATTGTTATGGATCAATGTGTTTGATCCGGAAAGTGTAGTGCCAAGATGGAAAATGCTTGAATCCTTGACTTTATTCAAAGCAACATACAGCTTAGATTTAGACTTGATTATCTCCGAAAGAAATGTTCCATACCTAGGATCATCTGCATTATTGGTCCAACAAAGAGATGAGGACTCTTCCAGCTAATATGTAGATTGAAATCATAACATATATATATGCATATATGTGCATTTATTTTTCAAAAAAAAAAAAAAGAGAAAAGAAAGATACCAAGAAGAGAGAGGATAACAGCACGTGCAGCTAATTGTTCAGCCTCTTTCTTATTCCTACCAGTTTCTCCACTATAAGTCACACCATTGAAAACCAAAGAGGACATGAAAAGGGGAAGCAATCCTTTTGACTGAATGGTATTGTAGGTTGGCATTTTCAGATTCATCTTGACTGCAAATTCATTCAAGATAGACTTGCAAAATACTGTATCCTAGAACACCAGTCACAAAAGTTTAGCAAAACCCAAAGCAAATGTCAAAAGTATAACGAACCCATTTAAGGATGTTCGGTTTTAGAAAACATTTTCAAATTTTCTATTTTCATTACACTCTAAATGTGAACAACAAGATAGGGTAAATAAATAAATTTGGAAATCCAAAAACAAAGGATTCCACATGTAGTTAAAAGTTTGCAAAGTCATTTATAGTAATATTCTAATATTATAGAAAATTGAAAAACAAGGTTTTCCAAATTTATTTATTGATCATTTATAAAGGAAAAATAAGATAGAAAATGAAAAAAATTTTCTAAAACTAAACGGGGCTTAAGCTTTTTCCCCTTTTTTCTGTTGTTTTTTACTTCTGACTGGGCACATCTTTAATTATTTGCACACATCATGTTGTTGTCTCACTTCCAAAGTTTATATGCTCAACAGCAAAATTCGTATCATATTATCTACTAAAGAGTAAAGAATTACTAAAAGACAAATATTTGAATAATGAAGTACAAAAATCTCATTCCATCAAAGTCATAAGTCAAAAGACCTTTTTAAACTTTGTCCTCTTCTAAAAATGGACCAAGATATGATATAAAGAGAACCAAATATTATACCTCTTTGACTGGTAAGTTTCAAGAGAAACAAACCGTTATGAATGGCCCACAAACATTTAAATAAAGGAAGACATCATTGTACCACAAAAGATCAAAAGTTCCAGTAAAATGCAACAAACCTCACGAATGAGAGGACAGCCTTCATCTTTTAACTTCTTTGAGATACACTCCAGAGCATATTTGGCAACATCTTGTTCAGCTGCTTTTCTATGTGAAAAGGTGCCCACAGAAGTATAACTTATACCATCAACTAATACAGTTGACCTGAACTTTGGAGCATGCAGAGACCCTTCATTAAAGGTTTGATACACTGGGAGTGGTATGGATGATCTTTGAGTAAACTCCTGTAAACGATTCTTATGCATCAAGGGTTCTTGAGGCCCTAAGCAAAATCAATGCATGAATTAGTAAGGGATGTCTACTTTCAAATAATTAAATGCAACAGACTCAATGAAAACATTGCTTATAAGCAAGACAGGTAAATTAAACTATGAAACATGAATTTAACCAGAAAAAAGATCATAGACAAAAATTCTGAAAACAGATCATGGAATGTCAAAGATGCATGATAGAGCTTCACATGATTATTCAAGCTTTTAAGTATAAGTTGAATAGAAGAGACTGTCTTTATCTTCAAGCACAATCAACTTAAAAAAATATTTCAATGAGAGAAATGCCAAAATATCATAGTGGTCCAAAATGTCAGTTAAAAGCAGCCAAACATTGACTATTTCAATGTTTCATACACAATAACTCAAAGCACCTTTGGATAAAAGCTAATGAAAGAGAGAAGAAAAATTGTGGGCCGTTTTGATGACAGGAAGGGAGGGGTGGTGTTGGAGCAATGTTTGAAAACTTCTGAAAAGAAGGGAAAGAGAATTGGAAGGCTATTCCACTTCCAAACAGGCAAACTCTTCAATCTGTAAAATATGCTTGTGCTAGTGTAGCTTATCTTTCTATCAGACTTTTATTCTAATTCAAACCTCATAATCGCCTCTTTATGAATAACACTTAATGTTATTATTTGGCACTCTACTCAACCTTATATCGTCACCCTTTGCCACCCTACAACCAAAAAATGGTAGTTAGTTTTACCCCTTTCCCTTCCTCGCCTTCCATAACAACATGCAAACAAAGGATGATTACCTAATGTTTTACTTCCCTTCATTATGTGCTTATTCTCCTTAGAAGGCATACTCACTCGACTCTTTGCTTACTACTAACCAGAAACTTTTTGGAGGCACCAACCAGGCACCCCCTCTTTTCCCCGCTCCCTTTATCTTCCATGTTAATAGAAAATAAAGGAAAAAGGATTGCTCTTCTTAACAACGATAGCCAGTGTACATTTTTAATTCTTAATGAAAATGGCACAATGGGAAATTTGGAAAAGGCATCTTTCCTTACAAAGACCTCCCAAAACAAGAGTACATTTTAGAAGCACCATCGCCCCACCCCACCTTTCCCCAACCCCTTGGTCCTCCATGTTAATAGGAAAAAAAAAAAAAAAAAAAAAAAAGATCACTCCCCTTAACAACAATAGCAAATGTACGTTTTCAATTCTTAATGAAAATGGCAGGAAGTACATTTCCCAAGACAATCATCCGCTATGAGACCTTCCAAAACAAGAGTTCATTTTAAGTTTCTTAAAAATTTATACTTGATGCACTATCAGTATATAGAATTTGTACATTGTTAGTGAATCAAATAAAAACAACTCATTAATGAGAGAAATCAGATGATAACACCCCATTAATGAGTAAATTTTTTTTCTTAATTTTAATATATGTACATTTATTTTAAGGATTGATATTTGCTCGTTAATAAAGTGTTATCATTGATTCACTGCTAGTGTATAAAATCTATACACTAACAGTGCATCAAATATAAAAGATTAACATCAAGTTTGAAAGAAGATTCCTCAAGTTTACTCTAACATTGAAAACTTTAACTATTCTAAGATTTGTATAATTCTAGCTAATTAAACCCATTTCTAAGTAATTAACCTTTTCATAAAATTTAATAATCAAATAGCAACTGTTAAATATGAAACCCACATCCTTTTTGTTTTTCCCATTTATTTTATTTTATTTTATTTTTTTGTGTGGCCATCATCAAAGTTTAAAACCCCAACTAAATTAGCACCATTTTAAACACCAAAAACAACTAACCATCAAATTAAAATACAATAAATCAAATTCAACCAAATATTTTCAACGCTTTTAAGAGAAATCAGCTACTAAGAGAAAAAAAAAAACCCAAAATTTTTTAAAAATGAAGCAAAATATTAACTTTTTCCTGCCAAAATTCAAAAATCTTAATAAAAAGAATAGCCCAAAACAATTGAAATGTAATACTTACTAGTAAACGACGGAGCCGAGGGCCAAGCTGGAGGCGCAACCTGGAAATGAGCAGGAGATTGGACCGGGGCCGAAGGTTGATCCGAGAGTGAGGGTTGGGGAAAAGATGAAAAGGAATCCGCCATTTTTTTTTCCTCTAGACGGTTAGTTTCTCATGCTTGAAACCGGAGGCTGAACTTTTTGTTTAGCTGAGTCCCAGGATGCCATTTGCGTTTGCATTTTGGTAAGGGCATTTACGTCTGTAAACAAAAATGAAAAGGCATTTACGTCAAAATATTTAACACGACGCATCTTTTGCCCAATTATATGATAAATAAAAGATAAACTATCAAATACAGTAACAATAATTTTTTTAGATTTATAAATGGTTTTAGAATATTATTAAAAATAAAAAATTAATGAAAAATATAATATGTGTTTGTATCTAAATTTTGTTTATAAAATTAAAAAATTCACTAATAACTATCAAATAATTTCTTTAATAACAAATTATATTTATTGTCATAAAGGTTTTGAAATTGCTAGATGAATTTTTAAAAAATAAAAAAAAATCGTTACAAATTATTTTTAATTAGGTATGATTGACGACCTATTAAAATTTATCTTTTAATAAAATTTTAAAAATTAATTAAAACTTATTGAAAATAATTTCTTTAGATATGCGAAAATAATTTTAATTTAGCAATTGATTATGCGTAAGAGAAGATTAACAATTTATAGCATCCGATACCAATTAATTATATATTATTTTTTTAATTTTGACAAAACTAATCTTAATATAGGTATTTAAAATTAATTTTTTATTTTTTTATTATAGTAAAATATAGTTTTATTTATAGTTGTGTGTTTGAAAACTAAATAAGAATCTTACATATTGAAAAATCGCTAAAATATTTTGATATTTTGGTAATTTTTAATAGAAACTTTCTCACCTAAAAATTTTTTAAGAATCACCACTCGAATCTTGGTAATTCATATTTATTTTTAAAATCAATATTTACTATGCTTATAATAAAATATGATGTCTATAATTTAATCCAAATAAATTTAATTTATTATTTTATTTATTAGAAAAACGAGAAATTATTATTGAAAATTATTCTAAATGCTTCAGTACATTGGTGGTATTTTAGATAAATTTTATCACTTAGAGATTTTTAAAAAATTACTATTCAATTTTTTTTTAAATCTCATCTTCGAAGATTTTATCTGTTTTTTAGAAATAATATGTATAGATGAAATATGATGTACATAGGTTTATTTATAAAATTATTGTATTGTATAAATTTTTTTTTTGTAGGAACAATAAACAAGAAATTTTTTTATCGAAAATTCTCTTAAATATCTCAATATTTTGGTCATAGTTTAAAAAAAAAAAAATTCACCTAGGGATTTTTTGAAAATCGATACTTGAATTTCTTTAAAATTTCATCATTGAAAGCTCGTGTTTACATTTCAAAAATTAAGTTACATGCATACAATGCAAATAATGAAATGTTAGTGTACATATTTCATTTATTCATTATACGAGAAAATTTTGTTTATTTTTTTTTCTTTTTATTATTTTTAAGGGAAAATAAAAGTTTTTATTATATTAAAAAGTTTTATAAATACTTCAATATGCTAATAGTATTTAATAAATCTTCTTAACTAGAGATTTTATAAGAATCACTATACCAACTTCTTTAAAATCTTATCATTAGGAGGGGTCTCTTATCATTATTATTATTTTTTTATTAGACCTTTTGTGATAATAATATTTAAAAAAAATAAAATGACCATCCATGAAAAAATATCATTTTTCACATATTTATTTATGTATTTTATGATCCAACCTCTATAAATATTAATACAATTAAATGTAAATAAGATAAGATATGTAAAAAATAAAAAGAAGAAAATATACCAGAAATGGAGCTTTTGGGCTACCTCCCCAAAACAAGATACTTGATACTCAAACTTCTCTAAAATCTCATTATCAAAGGCTCATGTTTATATTTCAAAAATTAAGTTACATGTATACAATGCAAATAATGAAATGTTAGTGTACATATTTCATTTATTCATTATTCAAGAAAATTTTGTTTATTTATTTTTTTTCTTTTTATTATTTTTAAGAGAAAATAAAAGTTTTTATTGTATTAAAAATTTTTATAAATACTCTAATATGCTAGCAGTATTTAATAAATCTTATCACCTAAAAATTTTATAAAAATTACTATACAAATTTCTTTAAAATCTCATCATTTGGATAGGTCTCTTATCATTATTATTATTTTTTTATTAGACCTTTATGATAATAATATTTAAAAAAAATTTAAATGACCATCCATGAAAAATATATCATTTTTAACATATTTATTTATGTATTTTATGATCCAACCTCTATAAATATTAATACAATTAAATGTAAATAAGACAAGATAAGTAAAAAATAATAATAATAAAAAAAAAAACAGAAATGGAGCTTTTGGGCTACCTCCCCAAAACAAGACCAATGGTCAAAAGAAGACCTAAATTTGAATGGGCTATAGGCTAAGCTTTCTCTGGATCTGATAAAAAGTTTCAAAACGGGTTCAGGTTGAGCCACTAGGTTGGGTCGCTATGGACTTAGGCTGAACACTAGGCGCAGGTTGAGTTGACCCATTTGGTAACCTTTTTTTTTTTTTTTTAAAGCTATAAAAACTTTAAGTTTATATATATATATATATATATATTTCTTTTCTTTTCCTTAAAAAAAAAAAACTTTTCATGATCCTAGTTTTTGGCGCCCTTACGTCATCGTCGCCACTACTCTTCATCACCGACGTAGCTTTTGACTAGCCTTTTTTTTACTCCAAATTTTAGCCACGACTTCTTCTTGATTTGCTTTTCTTGTATTTGGCCTCAGTTTTTCAAGAATCAAACTCGAATAATGCTAGATTTATATTTAAAATCCTGACAAAACCACCAAAAACTACTACCTCCACTGCTCGTACTAAACTCTTCTTCTAGTATGTATTTCCCTTCCTCATGACCTCTTTCTATATAAAAAACCCAACCCAAAGCTCCTTTAGAGTCGCCCAAAATAAAGCTCCTCTTCTCCTTCTATTCATTTTTTTTTTTTATTTTGGTGTTAAGATGTGCTTATTTATTTTACTTTTTTGGGTTTTTTCTGGTGGTTTTGGTGGAGGTGATTTTTGGTTGTAGAAAATCAAAAGGGGAATTTTTGGTTAGATATGGCTATGGGAAGTTGTTAATGGTGGTTTTTTACTTTGGCAAGGTACATTTTTGGATGAGAAAAAGGCCGTTTTGTGGTGTGTAAGGTTGATGTTGGTGTTTGGCTTAATGCTGGTGATTGGTTCTTGGTTGTTAATGTTTGAGCAATCGAGAGGTTTTTGGTTTGTGGGTGGTGTAGCAGTGTGTGTATTGGCAGAGAAAGGGCTATGATTTGTATGAGGGTTATATGGTGATGGTTAATGACTTAAAGGGATGTTGTGGTGTTTTGGAAGAGGGTTGGCAAAGGTCCTGGAGTGGCTTTGGAAAGGGTTGTTAGGTGTTAAGGAGGGGTTGGCCGGGGCCCCGATCGAGGGCTTTTTGTAGTTGGTATAGATGTTGTGGATGGTGCGTTCTTACATGGTATTGATTGAGTGATGGAATAGGCAGAAGGTTTGGAGAGGGTTTTTTTTTTTTTTTTTCCAAAAGAGCTTGGTCTTTTTTTTTTTAGAAAATTTTTGGCCATCCCTTTTCCCTGTGTATCTTCATCCTTGAATATTTTTATCGGACAATTTGTAACAACAGTTCAAAGGTTTTTTAGCATGGCAGGGTATTGGAACTAAAGCTCATAAGGATTTTGACATATTATGGCAACAAGTTGCTGGCCATTTCTTCCGGTTTTGTGCAATTTTTTTTTTGTTTTCTTGCATTTGTCTTTTTTTTTTTGTCATTTTGTTATTTTTAATATATTCAATAAATAAATAAAATAAGAATAATAAGAATAATAATAAAAATAAAATAAGATTTTGAAATTTAATTTGATCATGAATTTGAAATTTGAGCTTTTATTGAATCTTTTAAGTTTAAATAATTAAATTTTGAATTAATTTTGATTAAATTGAATCTTGACTCAAATAAAATTGAATTTGACAATTAATTCGAAATAAGCATTAATTTAATTATCAAGCTTAAATTAATTTAAATTAAATTATTTGAATCATAAAAGTTACTCCAAATTAAAATAATTTAAACAAAATTAAATATTTATAATTATAAATTTTAAATAATACTTAAAACTCAAAGATTTAATCTATGATATCACTTGATTGAATCGAAGATATCAACAGTCATTTATTAAAAAGAATGGGATATATCAACCTTGGTCTTTTAAAAACGTAAGATTTTATAATTAACCTATATTAAATATAACAAAAAGTTATCAAAAAATGTTTTGACTAATGATTAGAGTTTTTACTAAACATATTATTTGTTTACATGCAATTAATCTATTTAAAAAAAATAATAAATTATTTATATATTTTTTAATATTAATTTTTAATATTAAAAATATTAAAATCGATTTTTTAAAAATATAAAAAACATATTTTATATTAATAATTTTAAATTATTTTAAAATTAAAATGAAATATCAATAAAATAACACCTCAAACTGGCTTTTAAAATAATTCGGTTTGCTGAACTATACGGTCCATAAATAAGTCCATGACGACATCAAACAAACCCTCAATAACTTTGCCAATTTTTTTTTCCCTAAATTCATATTCTCTTTCCAGTTTGCAATTTCCTTCCTTGCTCCGATCACTCCGCCCTCTCTATCTCCGCCACAAGTCTCCCTTCAATTCCCCCTAAACCCCAAACGAAGATCAACCCAATCCCTTAAAATGGTTAAAAACAAGAAAAGATCACATTCCCAGCGCTCTCCTTCACCGCCACCCCAAAACCCATCGCCCCTAAAACGCCCTATTTTCCCTTCCTACCAAACAACCCCAAACCTCCACCCCAAAGTCAAACTTCTCTGCGAAATCATTTCTACCACCCCTTCATCAGCTGTCGAAAACCTTTTAGAAGACACCGGCCTCCGCGTAACCCAACTCGACGTCGAAAACGTTCTCAAACTCTCCTACTCTTTCCCTTCCCTAGCCGTCAAGTTCTTCCGTTGGTCTGGCTACCAACTCCAACACCAACATTCCCCTTATTCATGGAACATCGTCGTCGACTTGTTGGGTAAGAACGGTCTATTCGATGCA